CGACGTGGGCGTCGTGGCCACGCGTCGCTCTAGCGGTGCAAACCCACGCGGCGCAAATCGGACCGTCCACATCTTCACTGTCTTGTGGCATCGCGGGTTGCCAGGGAAGTCGGTGTCGACCAGATCATCCCAAGGCACACAAACCCGGCCACACGGCACGTTCTCTGCCAAGCGCGCCGAGTGGAAGTCGGCGCCGATCATAGGCCCCCCACGGCATGGTTGCCACGCCGTGCTTGAGTCATCCCGGGCCTCCGGGAGATCCATGTCTGCTTGCCTTAATTTCTGCACTGGGGCGCCAATGGCGGTCGCAAGCCACGTAACGCACGCCCATTCCGACGTGGAATGGCACTGGCTTACGCCCCTTCCGTGCAGCGCGGCGCCCAGCTAGCCATGCCTGGCACGTCGGACAGTGCGCCGCCTTTACGAGAACACATGCACGGCGGCGGATGCATTGGGGTGTGCGTGACGCGCGGCAGCATCGTAGTCGCTCAGGACCATACCCGTCCGTTGCCCCGCGAGCCTGCTCATTCGCTTGTCCGTTCCTGCGTTCCTTCCTGCTCTCTCGTTCCCTTAGAATTTTCAGCTGCCAGTCTGTCATCGCGCCTGTAGGTTGCTCGACAGCCGATTGTTCGTCCAAGTCGGCACAGGTTCCACGTCGCGAGTCGACGTAGCAAGTCGGCGACGCATGGCCAGAGGTCGCCCGAGGGCCCAACAGCCGCAACCCATCCCACCCCCCGCCGACTCGGTAGACGCCGACATCAAGGCGCAGCTGGAACAGCTTGAACTCGAAGCCGAGTTAGACGCGCTTGAGCGAGAATTCGAAGAAGACGAAGACCGCCTGACGCTTCGCGCGTTCGCCGCACCCGTCACACAGTACCGTCTCTGGTTTACCACCCCCCGCGATCTCGAGGTCGACGCCGAGATAGACGTTATTGAGGGACATCTCGAGGACGACCGCCGCGCAACTGTTCGGGCGTACACCGCACCCGTGACTCAGTACCGGCAGTGGTTTAACAACCTCCCCAACGCACACGGACGACGGTAGAGCAGCAGACGTGTACCGACATGGCCGACGTCGACATGTCCGACGCTAGGCCATCCACCGACCAGGGTCCGACGACCACCGACCGCAGTCCGACATCCACCGACCACAGTCCGACACCTACCGACGAAGACAACCTGCAGTTACTCTACGATCTGGACAAGCTGACGCAGATCCCAGAAGGGGTGTTCACCACGGACGTTCCGCCACCGCCGATAGGGAAGTTCAACAAGAAGAAAAAACAGACTCCTACGCAAAATGGTCGGCCAGGTACCTCGTCGGCACCGGCCGCCCCTGGAAACCAGGTCGATGACGAGGACGCGGAGGAGGAGGGGGGGGAGGAGGAGGAGGAGGAGGAGGAGGAGGAGGAGGAGGAGGAGGAGGAGGAGGAGGAGGAGGAGGAGGAGGAGGAAAGCGATGACGAAAACGACGACCGTCCACCTCGTAGCTCTAATCCGCGCACCTTGGACGAACGACTCAGGCGGGAACTGCAATTCATCGACATACTGCTCGACCAGGACGAGGACGAGGACCAGGAGAACTTGGCGGTGCCGCGCGAACAGTGGAGAGCGGCAGACTTCGTCGAGGAGGACATGGTTTACGCGTGCGTAGACGTGCTCGTCATGGACGCTCTTCGCCACCTGCAAACCGTGGAGAGGAACAGCACGCTGAGGCAGTACACCTCGTGGATCTATCACTACAAGAGGTGGGCGGCGAAGATGTTGAAGCAAATTCGCAACAAGCTTCCGCAGGAGTACAGGCTTAAGCACGTCGACGAGATAGGGCACTACATCCGGGAGAACAAGAAGAAAAACTGGGACCAAGAGGCCGATGTCCCCCGGTCTCACGTGTGGCTGCACGGCCCTAGGGTCACCAAGGACCGGCTTCGCGCATACGTGAAGTACATGATTCGGGAGTTGAACCTCGATGCCGAGTCCGGCAAGGGGGCCGACAACGCCACAGGAACACAGCCGGTGCAGTCGACAACGGTACACACGCTCCTCGGGCGCATAAAGGCATGCCAGATGGCGGCGAGAGTGGAGGCGACGCTCTTCCGGGAGACGGAACTGAGCATCATGAGGGAGATATCGGTGGTCAGGTCGGAGGTGCGGTACATGATCCGCACCAAGAACGAGCGGGACATCAAGTGAGTTTATGTTTTAACCTACGTCGACCACTCTCCTGCTGTCATGATCTTTGTCGACGCCGCCCTAAATACCCCTTGCCCATGGCATTGTTGGCAGGAACTGCGCCGATCGCCGTCGCGGAACCATCGGCGATACCTACACCGCCGAACAGTTCCGCCAGATCATGTTCAGGGTGCTGCCGGCGTGGGCGGCCAAGGCGTGGAACCCGCGGGGTACGGGTCCTTCGCAGACGCTGTGGAGGTTTCTTCTCTTGAAGGTGCTCACGCTACTCTCCCACCACTCTCTCCTGCGCGGTGCAAGCATCCGCGAGATCACTCTCCCCGACATCTTCTTGTACCGACTGGCGAGCACCTCCTCGATCAACCCGGAGAACCAGCCGGTCGTCATGGTCATCGGAGCGCGGAACTCGAAGACGTCCAAGGATGCTCGTCTGCAGCAGAGCTACGCCGCGCGGCACCTCGAAGCGGAGTTGTGCGCCGTCGGCGAGACGGGCCTGTGGTTGCACTTCGTCCTCGATCAGATCGGTCAGTTTCACGGCGTCCGCCTCATTCCGCCGGTCGACACCAGCACACGCGCTAGCTGGTACAAGAAGCACCTGTTCTTCGCCAAAAACGACACCGACCAGGGTGAGCTCTCTGCGGCAACCCACCAACGCTGGACGCGGCAGTTGTGGGACACCAACAAGGTGTTCTGCAAGAGGAACGTGCACGCCGCTCGAGCGGGCGGGGCCCAGGAGCTGGCTATCGACGGCACGCCGCGCGCCGAGATCGCGGAGCTTGGACACTGGGCTCTCGACAAGATGACGCGAGCGTACATCACCGCCATTCCGGTGGGGGTGGTGATGAAGAAGGCCGGGTACTCGGGGTACAAGCAGGACTACTTCTTGGGTCGGAGCAGGGTGCCGCCCTCCGAGAAGCTCCTGAAGCTCCTCGCCGAGCACATATTCCCCGGCGTCGACGACATGCTGAAGGAGGTATGTTAGTCGACGCCCTCGTAGCTTGCCGCCGAGTCGTGTTGCCGACCTTTTCTGAGCTCCCCGTACCCGTGACAAATGGCAGGCGGAAGGGAAGGCTGTCGAGGGGTCAGACGCCGACAAAGCCGCGGTGCACTTCTGGCGCACTCTCCTGATGCTGCGCCGCATCGTCGCCGAGGACCTAGCGGTGAAGCTAGTCCGCACACCATGGCACCCGTACGTCCAAGGTTCCAAGCTCTGCCGGATCCCCCTCTTCCAGCACTGGGCGAAACGGGTGGAGAGCGTCGACACCGAGACGATCAACAAGCGTAAATACAGCCAGAGGTAAGTCGACGATACTGTCGCCGACGTGCAGTAGGGAGTGTAAACCAAACCACCGCGGCCCTCACGTTTTCCTCCTCCTACTGCTGCAGGAAATCTCGGTGCGCATGGACACCGAGTACTACAACATGTCCCTCAAGGCCCAGATGCAGAAGGAGAAAGAGCGCGCCGCGAACGAGAAGATTGATCTCCTAGAGGAGATCGAGAAGCGCGACGACACCATCGCTGGGCTCACCGCCGAGCTAGCCCGTGTCACCGAGGCACTCCGCTTGTCGGAAGCACGGAGAGTGCCGGTGGCCCCGCCGTCGGCTCCCGCGCAGACTCCCAGCGATGGTGGATCGGCGGAGTCGGCCAGCACGGGGGCTGGAGCCAAGAAAGGGGATGACAAACCCCCGCCCCCCCCACAGACGGACGAGGAGGCCAGTTACGAGCTCAACGTGGTGCAACCGTGGCGGGAGGCAAAGACTGTGAGGGACGCTTGGCGCCTATGGAATTCCGCCACCGCCAATGACACCCGTCGCCTTTGCGACAGGGTCGCCGAGAAGGGATTCGTCGCCCGCCACACCCTCCTCACAGGAAAGGGCGCGACGCAGGGTGGGCTCGACACGAAAGTGCGACGCATGATGAGGGCCATGGATGCGGTGCGCCAGCTACGCGCGAGCGACGGCGACGCCGACACCGAGGCCGTGGTCGACGCACTGAACAGGATCGCGGCACCGGGCATTGGGACCTTCTGTGACGCCCTCACGGTGCTCAACCCGAAAACGGAACCGATGAAGTCGAAAGAGCCTGGCATGGGAGTCAAGGGGCTGGGCCCCAAGGTCGTCTCTAAGCTTCGCCTCGCCTGTGGGCTTGTCGCGCTCAATCTGAAGCCGGCCGATTGGCTCGAAGCCCTCTTTCCAGACACCTGGGAGGAGCAGATGCCGAAGACCAAGGCCGACCTGGCGAAGCCGACCGCACCTGCCAAGTCGACAGCACCGGCCAAGCCGACCGCACCCGTGCAGCGTCCTCCGACCAAGCGCAAGAAGACGGCATGAAGTCCCTCATGGGATATGCGTCTGCGTAGATTTTGGCAGACTTAAACAGCCCCCCCTCCCCCCCCCCCCCCCCCCGCCCCATCCGACTGATGTTTCTGTAAACATCCCACATCAATGTCCATGCGAACCGTAGTTGTCGGTGAATGTTGCCGATGTTGGTTGTTTGTCGCCCAGTACAGTAGGTGTGGCTAAAAATCACTGTCGACGTCATGCCGACAACCATGTTTCTGCACTGCTTATCGCCGACGTATCATGTGCATATCATGTCGACATATGCGCCGACTTGGCTCATCGGGTGATATTCGGCTAGCATGGTTATACAGTGACACCGAGTTGTTAGCCCAATATTGAAACGAACAGCACTTGAACAAAAAAAGGCCACATTTAACAAATCTACGCCAAAATCGGCGCCGTCCATACCAATATAGTACACACCCTAGCAACCTAGCAAACATCATTCCGCCGACTACGCATCCGTACTACCTCTTCCTCTTGCTGCCCTTGGCCTGCTTGACCTTCTCCCCCTTCCTCCCCCTGTGATCCAAGTCGTACTCCATCTTCGCGTCACACGGCACATCGATGCCCTCCGCTTTGAGCTTGGGCCCGTCGAGGGGGCACATTCCCCAGAACGCCAAGGTCTCGACCGTCGCTCTTGCGATCATGTCGGCCTCGTCTTCCTCAATGCCCGCCTCGAAGGCCCTGGCCACTCCATAGCGCTGCAGCTCTGGCGCGACGTTATGTGCAACCTCCCCCGCGGGAGCCTGCCGAGTGCGTGCGTGTTCGATAACCACGTGCATGACGTTCGCGAAGTGCTCGCCCCTCTCCTTCCCCGCACCTGCCAGAATCGCGGCCGCCTTACCTTCGCCCACAGCACCGAGCACCGACGCCGGCGTCGACATGTAGCACCAGAGGGCGCATGCAGAGGCCGCTAACGCCTGGGCCCCCATCTGCACCTTCTCGTCCGCCTTCCTGTCCGCGCCTTCCATATCCGTCGTCTCTCCCGCGGTCGCCTCCGCGCTCCCGTCGACCTTCCCATACGCGACTCTCGCCGCGACCTTTCCATACGCCGCGCACATCGACACGCGATTCACCATCGCCGACATGTTGGCATTTGTCTCCGCCCTGCCTTCCTCCGTGTCCTCGATGATGGGGAACCACATCGCCGGCCAGAGCACGCCATGAAGCGCATCACCCGAACCTGCGTACCCACGGAACCTGCCGAGTATGTCGTCGAACCTGCCGAGCGAACACGTACACATAGAATTAATGACACCGACTTGGTCGTCAAAACACGGCATGTCGGTAACCGACTTACCTTGGTCTCGGATGGCACAAGCCTCTGGCCCACATCACCGTCCACATCCCGGTCGGCAGGATTTTGACCTCCTCCCACACCGCCTTCCATTCATCCAACTCTCCCGGCTTCAAGGCGGTGAGCTCCTTCATGAGCACCTTGCTCACGTAGCCGTCGTAGACGAAGTACGCAATCGCGTGCTCGTAGGCCAGCTCCATCTTGTCGCGGGACTTGCCGATGTACCGATTCTGGTTCTTGAACTTCATCTCGCCCACCCACCCCTGCCCGTCGCCAGACCTGTCTCGGCGGATGCCATGACCCCGGCGTCCATGCTCTTCCCCCTCCCCCACCTCCTCCTCCTCCTCCTCCTCCTTCTCCTCCTCCTCCTTCTTCTTTGCCGACTTACCCTTGCCGCCCGTCTTCCGTGCCGGCTTCTTCCCTTTGTCTTCCGCCATCTCCTTCCCCGCCGACACCGCCTTCCCTTTCCCGGTGTCGTCCTTACCCTTCCGTCCCGCATTTCCCTCGGCGACAACACCCGTTGCGGCCGTCGGCTCCGCCGAACCCCCTGTGTTGGTCGCCGACGGCTCCGCATGCGCCGTGTCCACGATGGCCAGTGCCGGGGCATGCTCGGGCCGTTTTGCTGCCTCAAACTGGGCCAGGACGGATTCGAGGGCGGCATGCCTGTTGGCGCGCGGCCGCCGGTGGCTAGCGCTGCACTGACTCCCCTCTCCGCCGCCAGATCGACCACAGCTGCTCCTGGGGAGGGTGCGGTCGCATTTACAGCCGTCGGCGTCGCGCTTGTGCCGGGTTCCGGCTGAGTGACTGGTGGAGCTGCCGCTTTGCGTGCGCCTATATGGGCGCGAAGAAACGCGGACTTGGGGTCCGCAGGCGGTGGGGCGGCGACCGGCCGCGCGGCAGATTGGGCATCGGACGGTTTGCCGGCAACGTGCGGAGTGACGGAGCGACGTGCTGTTTCTGCGAGGCCGGCGTCGACCACAGGATGCTGCTGCGCGCCCGGGCGGTGGGACTCCATGCGGTGGAGCAACACCCTAAGCGCGTTACTCCCGGGTGGCCCCTGTGCCGAAGCAGCCTTCGCGTCGACCTTGGCGGCAGTAGGGGCTGCTGGAGCTGGAGGGGCCGCACGGGCCTCCCCATGCTTCCCCGCACCTGACTGGCCGGCGGGCCCGGTGGTTGCCGCAGGCGGGTTACATGGTGTCGACTTGGTGGTTCCGGCGACCGTACCAGAAGCAGCCTTCGACTTGGTGGTTCCGGCGACCGTAGCAGAAGCAGCCTTCGACTTGCCGGTTCCGGGGACTGAAGCAGAGGCAGCCTTCGCCGTGCCGGTTCCGGCGACCGTAGCAGACGCAGACATCGCCTTGCCCTTGGCCGGCACCGCGTCAGACGGCCCCTGGGTGGTTCCGGCGCCTCCGACTTTCGCCGCCTGGGCAGTGGGGGCCGCGTCCTTCCCACCGCTCGCCTGAGGATGGGTCTGCTCGGCGTCCAAAGGCGGGCCAGGCGGTGCATCGACGTTAGCCGCGATCCCGTCGGCAGGTCTCCCGTCCGCCCCCCCGCTTCCGCTTCCCTTGCTGGTCGACCCTCCCCTCACCTTCCACCCCTTCGCCTTCAGCATGTCGACCACGCTCCGCGCAGGAGGCTTCGTGCCGCGGCTCCCGTCCGATCCCTTGCTCCGCTTCGAGCTCTCCTTGTCGTCACCGTCGCCCGACCTCTTCAGGCCTTGCTTGTCGGCCGCCCTCTGTTGCGCGGCGTCGGCGTCATTGGCCGAAGGCGACGACCCACGTCGACCAGGCGCCACCGTGCCGATCATCTCGGTCAACATCTTCATCCCGGACGCAACGAACGACTGCTCGGTGGCCTCCGTCACCGTCTTCATGATGTCGGCCTTGAACGACTTCAAGAGCTCTTCCGGGAGGGCGGGCGGCGTGGGCTGAGGCGGTGGCGGCGGCTGCACGGGGAGCCTGCCGGTCACAGCTGTGGCGATGTTGACAGCTGCGGCGGACAACTGGCTCGTGATGTGCTCCCGCAAATCCTCCTGCGCATCGCCCACCACCTTGTCGACGTGGTCGGCCAAGGTGGTGACCGCTAAGGCGCGTTGATACGCCACATTTCCCTCCGGGTTGTCGAAGTCCTCCAGCCACGCCGACGCCTGTTCCGCGAAGGTCTTCATCGTCTTCCACGCCTCGTCGAAGCTGCCGGTGATGTTGCCCGTGATGGTCTGCGACATGGCCTCCGCCGCGTTTCGCAGCTGTTCCGCCGCATACTTCTCGGTGTCGTCGACCTGCTCGGCCAACTCCTTCAGGTGGTCGACGAGTCCACGTAGCCCAACAAAAAACGCGTCCAGCCGAGCCCGTTCCGCATCGAGCAAACCCTGCAGCCGAGCGTTCTCCGCCCTCAACAGCAAGTTCTCCCGTCGCAGCTCCTCGACGTCGTCCGTTGCAGGGCCCTGCCGACCAGATGCGTCCCCCGTCTCCTGCACGCCCGCGATGTTCGCACCTTCGCCGGCGTCGACCGACACCTTCGCACCTTCGCATGCCGCCTCCTCCTGGCCCGTTTCCGTCGTTGCCTCCACGCCGACCTCATCCTTTTCCTTCCCCTCACCTGCCGACCCCGTAGCATTACCCGCATCGCCATCCTCCGCTTCCTCGTTCTTCTCGTCCGCCGACCCCACCGCCTCAACCGTGCCGTCTGCGTACTCCAGCTCGTACTCCACCTCCTCCTCCACCCCTTCCTCGTGCGCCGCCTCATCCTTCCCGGCCACCACCTCCACCACCTCATCGTTCTCGTCCTTGCCCTCGTCATCCTCCTCGTCCTCATTCTCCTTCTCCCCTTCGTCCTCCTCCTCCCCCTCCGACTCCGACTCTGAGCCAGAGTCCGTCAACTCCTCTTCCTTCCTCCCTGCGCCTGCCGCATCGTCGCCTAGTCCTCCACCGGTTCCTCCTTCCGCGGACACCGGCAAGTCCTCCTGGCGCTGGGCGGCAGCTGCTGCTTGGGGCGCCGTCTGACTTTCCGCGCCGTCGTCATCAATCGCACCCTCGGCGGGTCCGTCGGCGCCTGAAGTCGGCGCCGCTATCCGGTTTTCGGCGACACGATGGCAGATGTAATCGACCATGCTATCACGGAGCGACCTCAAACCCGCGACCTTGATGTTCTCGATGCTCACAGCGCTCCGAGCCTTGTCGCCCGTCAGCAGGCCGATCTGCTTGGCCACCCACCCGAACGACGTCGCGGCAAGCATGCCGGTGCCGACATGCCCGTCCGACACTGTGCCCGGCACTTTCTGCATACAACACAGGCAAGCGCGGCACAATATGAGCGGTGCATACAGATACGCGCAGACCGTAGCGGAGCCTAAACGTGCAACTCACGTCGCGGATAGGGTCGTCGCAGTCGGCAAGCCTTTCCTCCACCACTGCTTGTGATGGCGGCGCCCCGTCCCACTTCCTACCGGGACGCCCCAGCTCGGCCAGGGCAGCCGTGCGGAATAGCCTGGAGCAACGTAGTGGAGAGGAGGTCAGCATGAGATTCCCTGTGTCGGCGACTAACAAACTCGACAGCGACGACTATTCACAACTTACTTCAGGACGCGGACGGCCTCGTCGCGGTGCTTCCCTTTTCCGGTGTGCGGGTCGATGTGCCGGATCGATGTCCTGCAGACCTGTCCCTCAGCCTTCAGCACATCTCCTGGGTAGAGGATGGCTATGACGCTGCAGTGTGACCCTGGAAGCGGGCCGCCGCTGCACACGCAATAAACGACGGCGTCGACCACAGCATAAGGCGTTGATGCGGCCGACACTGAAAAACGATGACTGGACAACGGGGTAACAGCTCACGTCGATTTCAGCGGGATAGCGGCGATGTCGGCGTCGAAAGCCTTAGCAAAGCAAGAATGGTCGGCGGCTTTCATGGCCGATCGAAGCGGGCCGATCCCGAGCACCCACAACCGCAGGTCGTCCCGCCCAATGTCAAACCAAGCGAACCTGAGCGCACGAGTGAGCACGAGGGATGAGAACATGGCTGGTAAGCAAACGCTGCCATGTCGACGTGCTTCGTCAAACGCGCCCGCCGACGTACGTCGGAAGACAATCGGCGACAGTGCGCCCTACTAGGGTTGGTCGGCACCGACATCTTCCCTATTCGACTACCGCGACTACCCGCGTCCCACCTGATGGCGAGTCCAAAGCATCTCTCGGTGAACTCTTTCTTTTGGTCGCGAAGGACGGCGTAGTCGTTCCACTCTAAGGTGAAGCTGAGACCGCGACCCATTTGCACCCGAAGGGGAAAGTCGGCCGATGTCGGCGCCGACTTATCGGCGGCGGAGATCGGCTCCATATCTGTCGACTAAGAAAAGAGGCGGACGGCTCTGGTAGGAGAGAGGGGAGGCGCAGAGCTGTCAATGTTTGAAAATCTAAAAGAGATGCCGAAAATGCGGAGCGAGGCCACCTTCCACAAAGAAAAGGAGGTGGTGCCCCCCCCCCCCCCCAGGCCCGTTCAGCATCGCCCAAGGGTGCAGGGCCTGGCTCGGCAGTGCTCGGAGGGCGGATGCGCAAGTGGCACAGGTGGTCCGTCTCCGCCTTGGTAGAGCGTCGACTTCGCGTCCATTGGCCCAGGTCGGCGAGGGGACGCACGAATCCTCCTGCGCGCGGAGCGACGCTACAATCGACACGTGTCGATTTCGTAGCGGTTCGCGACGATAGAATGCATGCGATGGGAGAGAATTTATTTCCGCCTCGTCAAAAATTTCGCATGCGCCCGATGCGAAGCCACGGGCGAACACGTGGCGCCACCGCTGCGAATCGCGAAATTGTCGAGTGTCCCGAGGGGGGCCCGTATTTTCGCACGGCCCTCGCCTGCCCGTCCGGGCAGGCCGCGATGGGTTACTAGGACCTCGCGGGCAGGCAGCACGTGTGGGCTGCCTTCGCGCGAGGGTAACTTTCCCTCGCGCGAGGGGTCGCCAGTTCGCCGACCCCACCCGGTAACGTGGGTCGCTGTTCAATTTCGGAGCGGGGCTGCGGGGCGGCGGTCGTGCGCTCGGCCCAGCCCTGGGCCAGGCTGGCGGGCCCGCACGCGCGTCAGTCGCCCGCCTCGTCAGGCCCTCCTCCGACGACCCCTCCCGTCGACACTGGCAAAACGGGTCCGACGACCGAGTTCCGATGAGGCTTTCGATACGATAGTTATGAAAGGGGTATAGAGGTGAATCAAAGCCAATGTAATACGGGTTTGTAAATCCATGAAGGTAAGAAACCTGAATTCTCTTTTTACCGTATCTAGATCTGGTGCAATCGTCTTGGGGTGATGAGGATGACAACAGGCATACAGTCTTTTCGGAATGATATTTTCGCCAATGCGGATACCGAGTGTTACCTTGTGGGGAACCCTCTCTGTACCATCCCGCAAACACCTCCTCTTTTCTCAGATTGGTGGAGCCAGCGGGGGTGTCAGAAGATCAGTTACAGTACAGAATAACGAGCAGCAGTTATCCCACCTGATCGCTTTCAGCCCCTACTTTCTGAGGAGTTCGATGTGGTTCTGTTTTCTGCAGAGTCAGCAAGCATGGGTACACTGCGGTGGGGATCTGTGTCACGCCCTCGATGCTCGATCCGCGCAGTCCTGATTTGCCGTATTGCACGCTCCTGAATTAGGCACTCTAGTAGTAATGTGCCATCTGTCGCCGGCAGATTTTGGGACCAGATAAGGCGCCAAACCGGCATCAGTCCGTGTGATGTATGTGAGTCGTCGCTAGCTATCCACTGTCTCTATCCGCTGTCACTTTTGGCCGGCATATTCCAAAAATAGCCCTGCTTCTTATCCGCTCTGTTGTCGGTGGAATTCCAAGCAGGCGTTTATAGAACAGGTGCTAACGAGGCAGGTGTTGTTAATGGCTAGCTGTGTCGGCACTACCCAGATGCGATCTGTCGTAAATGTTTTTGCGAATAATCTCGCGTATGGATTCGCGAACGTCGTGTCTGGTAACGGTTCTCGCACGCTTCGTCTGCCTTTCAGTCCCGCGCCGCGCGTCGTAAGATCCGCTGACATGGCGGGAATTTTTATCCAATGCTCGCTCCGAGGGTTCCTGGAACCCGCGCGACTTTCCGCGGCGCGAACGCAGTCGAGAAAGTCAACGCGAGTCGTGGCGAGTCGACCGAGGTCAACCTCTTGTCGCGTCACGAAAGCGGAGGCGGGAGAAGGGAGCGGGAAAGATGCTGGGAGGGAGGCGGGAAAGGAGGAGGGGAGCGCGGGGAAATTAAGAGTCGCCGTGATATGCGGAGGGCCGTCTGAGGAGCGCGGGATCTCGCTTAACTCGGCGCGGTCCGTGGTGGATCACCTGGAAGCGCGTGACGTGGAGATTAAGACGTACTATGTAGACCCGCTCTCAAGAGTCTTCGCCATTCCGACCACGCAGGTACTATTTGCCCTTCGCCCGCCCTCCCCTCCCCTTACCCCTCTCCTCCCCCGCGGGAGACCACCTGGAAGCGCGTAACGTGAAGATTAAGACGTACTGTGTGACTTCTGAGGCGCCCCAAAAGACGTGGATATTAAGACGCACTATGTGGCCGGTTCCTGAAAGTCATCGCCAAACCGATCACCCAGGGCCATTCCCTGCTCTTCCCTTGCCCCTCCTTTTTTTTTATATATAATTCGTTTTTTGACAACTGGTTTTTTTTTTTTTTTTTTTTTTTTTTTTTTTTTTTTTTTTTGGGGGGGGGGGGGATAAATCTCAAAAAACAGATTCAGCATTGCCATTCCGATCACCCAGGGCCATTCCCTGCTCTTCCCTTGCCCACCTTTCCATTGCCTTCATCGTGCACGAGTCGAGGAGAGGCAGACACACCACCCGATTAGCATATGGAGGGGGTTGCTCATGCGCCCTTTGCACACGGGTTCCCAGAAGCAGCAATTCCAAGCTTGTTTTTTGAGAATTCTCAAAAAGCATACATACGGGTTCCCAGGAGCAGCAATTCCAAGCTTGTTTTTTGAGAATTCTCAAAAAGCATACATACGGGTTCCCAGGAGCAGCAAACTCCAAGCTTGCTCCGCCGTACTCGCCAGCATCGTGGCATCTTTGAACATCAGCCTCTTTCAACCGCACTCCACTCCACCCCCTTTTCTTCTGCGGCTTCCGCCCCATAACCCGTTTCCCCCTCAGATGTATTCCAACACGCCTGCCGATTTCGACTTCAAGCTTCGCAGGTACTGGTCTGAACCTTCATAGAATGTTCTTGGAAGATTCATGGCCACCTTCTTTAGGAGATACGTGCATGCCTCTTTCCTTCCTAAAAATCACCTCCATTTCTCTCCTCCGATGTATTCCAACATGCCTTCCTCCTATGAGGCACCGCTTCGCTCTAGTAAGAGCACCCCTTGCACTCTGCCCAACCACCCTTCCGAGAATTCTCAAAAGCTCCTTTAGGAGATGCGTGGATGTAACTTTCCATCCTAAAAAGCACCTCCTTTTCTACTCCTTCCCTCTTTTGAGGCGCCTACTAAGAGCACCCCTCGCACCGAGTTGAAAGGGTTCGAACCGCAGCAAGCTTGAATTCGCCTGAAGGTTTTAGCTAAACAATACGTCTAACAGGGTGGGTAAGTTGCTAGAGTAAAGAGAGAGAGGTAAGCAACCAGGACTACTATGAGTCACAGGTAATACTGTAGGCGTACGCGTTTCGGCCGGAGCCGTCGTCAGCGTCAGGCGCCTAGTAAGGGCACCCCTCGCACCCCGGCCAACCAACCACCCCTCCCACCAACTCCCCCCCCTGCGTTTCCTCCTCTAGCATGTTGGCATCACCGTTTTTCTCTCTGCTTGCTTTTGCACACATCTGTCATACGCAACTGGCACTGTGTTGTTGCTTATTTTCTTGCTGCTTACACACGGCTGCCCTCTCCCCTTTCGCTCTCCCCTCCCCTCATCCCTCCCCCTTCCCTCCAGGCAGCATGGCATCACCATTCCCGTCCCTGCCTGCTTTTGCGGCACACCTGTCAGACGCAGCTGACATTGTGTTCCCGGTTGCTGTTATTCCTGCTGCTTACGCCCGCCTCTTCTCCTTATGTTCCCCTGCCTTCCCTCCCCCGGTCTCGTTCATTCGCTCCCTCCCCCTCCCCTCCGGGCAGCATGGCATCACCATTCCCGTCCCTGCCTGCATTCGCAGCACACCTGTCACGCGAGGTTGACATTGTGTTTCCGGTCATCCACGGGAAATTCGGGGAGGACGGGGGTATACAGGTGGGTGGGTTTGCTTCAGCCGTAAACTGCTATGCCCGCACCATTACAGCACACCTGTCACGCGAGGTTGACATTGTGTTTCCGGTCATCAACGGGAAATTCGGGGAGGACGGGGGTATACAGGTGGGTGGGTTTGCTTCAGCCGTAAACTGCTATGCCCGCACCATTACAGCACACCTGTCACGCGAGGTTGACATTGTGTTTCCGGTCATCCACGGGAAATTCGGGGAGGACGGGGGCATACAGGTGGGTGGGTTTGCTTCAGCCGTAAACTGCTATGCCCGCACCATTACAGCACACCTGTCACGCGAGGTTGACATTGTGTTTCCGGTCATCCACGGGAAATTCGGGGAGGACGGGGGCATACAGGTGGGTGGGTTTGCTTCAGCCGTAAACTGCTATGCCCGCACCATTACAGCACACCTGTCACGCGAGGTTGACATTGTGTTTCCGGTCATCCACGGGAAATTCGGGGAGGACGGGGGCATACAGGTGGGTGGGTTTGCTTCAGCCGTAAACTGCTATGCCCGCACCATTACAGCACACCTGTCACGCGAGGTTTACATTGTGTTTCCGGTCATCCACGGGAAATTCGGCGAGGACGGGGGCATACAGGTGGGTGGGTTTGCTTCAGCCGTAAACTGCTATGCCCGCACCATTACAGCACACCTGTCACGCGAGGTTGACATTGTGTTTCCGGTCATCCACGGGAAATTCGGCGAGGACGGGGGCATACAGGTGGGTGGGTTTGCTTCAGCCGTAAACTGCTATGCCCGCACCATTACAGCCCACCTGTCACGCGAGGTTGACATTGTGTTTCCGGTCATCCACGGGAAATTCGGGGAGGACGGGGGCATACAGGTGGGTGGGTTTGCTTCAGCCGTAAACTGCTATGCCCGCACCATTACAGCACACCTGTCACGCGAGGTTGACATTGTGTTTCCGGTCATCCACGGGAAATTCGGCGAGGACGGGGGCATACAGGTGGGTGGGTTTGCTTCAGCCGTAAACTGCTATGCCCGCACCATTACAGCCCACCTGTCACGCGAGGTTGACATTGTGTTTCCGGTCATCCACGGGAAATTCGGGGAGGACGGGGGCATACAGGTGGGTGGGTTTGCTTCAGCCGTAAACTGCTATGCCCGCACCATTACAGCACAGCTGTCACGCGAGGTTGACATTGTGTTTCCGGTCATCCACGGGAAATTCGGGGAGGACGGGGGTATACAGGTGGGTGGGTTTGCTTCAGCCGTAAACTGCTATGCCCGCACCATTACAGCACACCTGTCACGCGAGGTTGACTTTGTGTTTCCGGTCATCCACGGGAAATTCGGGGAGGACGGGGGCATACAGGTGGGTGGGTTTGCTTCAGCCGTAAACAGCTATGCCCGCACCATTACAGCACACCTGTCACGCGAGGTTGACATTGTGTTTCCGGTCATCCACGGGAAATTCGGGGAGGACGGGGGCATACAGGTGGGTGGGTTTGCTTCGGCGAGGACGGGGGCATACAGGTGAGTATGAGGGGCATACAGGTGAGTATGAGGGGCATACAGGTGAGTATGAGGGGAGGTATACGGGGCATACAGGTGAGTAGGGAAACACAGATTCGAAGGGTTTAGAGGGGGTATGAGGCATGCTTTTGTCCGTGGGGAGGTATGAAGCAGGAGGGAAGAGAAAACGTAGCTTACATTCACGTTTCTTCTCACGAAATCTCAAAACGGACATGCTTTTGTCCATGGAGAGGAGAAATGGTATGCTTATATTCACGTTTCTTCTCACGAAATCTCAAAACGGACATGCTTTTGTCCATGGAGAGGAGAAATGGTATGCTTATATTCACGTTTCTTCTCACGAAATCTGAAAACGGATACCAATAAGAGGTTATGAAGTTGTTGGGAGAGAGCTTGTTTGGAGAGGGACGAGTGTTTTCAAATGCTTGCTGCCACGCACGCACTGTTGAAGCAGCACAGCATTCCGTATGCTTCTTCCTTCTTATACTCTCTTATCCCTTCCATTCTCCCCTCCCTTCCTTCCCCCCCCCCTCCGCCCCTCTGTTTGCCAGTTGCTGCTGCAGCATCAACGCATTTCCTTTTGAACCTTTTTGTCCCATTGTCGATTTTCCCTCCCCTTCTCCCCTCCCCTCCCCTTCTCCCCTCCCCTCCCCTTCCCCCTACACGGAGCAGCATGGCATTTCCTATGCCCCAACCCTCTTATCCCTCTTCCTTCCCCCCCTCCTCCGCCCCCCCTGCCCCCTCCTGTCCCCGTCCCCTCTTTCCTCCACACCTCAAAACGAGGTGACTTTTGAGTCGACTCAAAAGTCACTCCTCTTCCCCTCCCTTCACCCCCCTGCCAGGAACTGTCGGAGCACCATGGCATTCCCTTTGTCGGCACTTTTGAGTCGACTCATAACGAGGCGACTTTTGAGTCGACTCATAACGAGGCGACTTTTGAGTCGACTCATAACGAGGCGACTTTTGAGTCGACTCATAACGAGGTGACTTTTGAGTCGACTCATAACGAGGTGACTTTTGAGTCGACTCAAAAGTCACTCCTCTTCCCCTCCATTCACCCCCTTGCCAGGCACTGTCGGAGCAGCACAACATTCCCTTTGTCGGCACTTCCTCTGCTGCTGCTGCTGCTGCTGCTGCTGCTGCTCCTCCTGCTGCTGCTGAGTTTTGAGTCAACTAATTTCACGCCCTCCCTCTCTCGTTTGTCCTCCCTCCTCCCCTCCACCCCCCTGCCAGGCCCTCTTGGAGCAGCACAGCATTCCCTTTGTCGGCACTTCCTCTGCTGCTGCACGCAATGCATTTGACAAGGTGGGAGGGCGGGCCGGCAGGTGACTAAGTGGGTGAGCTTGTTTGACAGAGTGATGATTATACTGGAAACCAAAGGTCTCAGGTTCGAATCTCAAAAGGTCCTATAACGACAGCCTGCCAGCCCGCCAGCCCAGATGTAACTGACAGACTGGTTTTGTCTTGCACCTTGCTTTTCTCTCGCCTCTCCTTCGATTTTCTTTTCAACGATGCGAATTAGTTTTTACCCTCCCTACCTCTTCCTTCCTCACATCCCCCTGTCTCTGGCAGTAAGCGTGTTTTATTTAAGGCATCTTAATTCCCCCCTCCTCTCCTTTCCCCGGTGTTTCCTGCAGTATGAGTGTGCACAGCACATGAAGCGTTGTGGCTTTCCCACCCTCCCGTCCTTTCTCATCCAGGTGTGCGACTTAACTGAGAGCCAGTCCTTAGGTAAGCGCACACTCTTAATCATGTTCTGAGGTGTCTGGATACCCATTTTTTTAGGCTTCATTTCTCACATTTTTCTTCAAAAGGGCAGTTCAGTAAAAAAAACCATGCTTGCAGTAACCGTGCACATGGAAGTATGGCTTTGTGTGGATTCAGGCTGGGGTAAACGACAAGGATGGTGATGTGGCGCTTTCTGATTGGTTCACCTCCAACGGACTCTCTCCAGAATCCGGCTCTGTTGTGGTAGGCCTCTCTCTCCCCAAAACCGGCTCCATTCCGTTTATCCATTCTTTTGTTTTCTCTACCAGCTTCCATTCTCTTCTCTCTACCAGCTTCCATTCTCTAACGCCTAAAAATAGACACCACTCTGCCCGCCCTGGTGGCCCCCTCTCTCCGTTCCGTTTCTCTTTGATTCCTGCTGTACCGTTTTCCTGCTCATTCTGTTTCTCTTTGCTAAGTACTTACTTGCCTAAGTTCCACTGGTGTGACTCGGGGTTGCACTGCAGGTGAAGCCAGCTCGAGCTAGGTCGAGTGTCGGCATCTTTGTGCATTCCCCTGCAGTGTTGTGTGTTCTGGTGCAGGCGGTTTTTGACACGTCTCATAACCCCCCGGTGCTGTGCATTGCCTCCCCCCTGGTGTGGACTGTGCATTGCCTGCAGGTGAAGCCAGCTCGAGCGGGGTCGAGTGTCGGTGTCTCTGTGTGTTCTGGTGCGAGGGAAGCTTCCCAGAAGGCTCACGAGCTGATATCTGAGGTCAGTTGGTTGGTTCTTCGTTCGTCTCACTTACGCCTGGGACTCGGCCTTTCTTACTTTTTGGAAAATTGCCGTTTTCCTTCAGGTTCGCAAAAAGGTTCAACTGAAGGTTTTTGAAAATTTTAAAAGGTTAGGTTCGCTCCTTGAGACTCCTCGTTCTTTATATTGTTGTTGTCGTTTGCATAAGATCCTCTCCTCCTCCTTGCTAAGCTAAACGCTTCAGGCATGTGTCTGTCTGCCCCCTGCTCTCTCTCCCCTCTCCCCTGCCCCCCCCTTCTTCTCCCTTGCTCCATGTCTTCCCCTACCCTCCCATCCCAGGGTGTGGACGATCGGGTGGTGGTGGAGGTATTCGCAGCAGGGGGCAAGGAATTCACGGCCATTGTGTTGGAGGCGGCAGCTGGGGCGGGGGGTGAAGATGGGAGCGATTGCACCCGCAATGCTGTGTGCCTGATCCCCACGCAGGTGTGTCTACAGTGTAGTGCAGTTTTGGGGGGGGGGGGGGCGCAGTCAGCAGATGGGCTTGATTCAACACACACGCACATATTATTACATATATGTATATATATATATATGTGTATATTTTTCGTGTCTAGTTTTTTTCTTTTGTAAGAATCTCTCACAAAAGCTTCAGCTCTGTATACTCCTGAAGCTAAAGAAAAAATTTCAGAGAGGTGTTTACAGGCCAGAGCTTACAGGCCCTGCTGTTTCTCAAGGCACTTCAGCTGTCTATTTGTGTGGCGCTTAAAAGAATAGCCTAAACTTCACTCGCCTTCCCTTCCGTCCCTCCCGTTTTCTCCCGTTTCCTCTTCTTTGTTTGTTTTGCCGTCTTCTTCGTTTGTTTTGCCGTCTTCTTCGTTTGTTTTGCCGTCTTCTTCGTTTGTTTTGCCTCACACCAGGTCGAGTTGACAGGCTTTGCCGCTTCTCAAGGCAACTCGGCAGTCATTGGAGCTGCTCCTGCCGCTTTTGAGAATTCTCAAAAGCGACTCAGATTTTGAGAATTCTCAAAAGCGTCTCAGATTTTGAGAATTCTCAAAAGTGCCTCACACCAGGTGGAGTTGACAGGCGTTGCCGCTTCCCAAGGCAACTCAGCTGTCACTGGAGCTGCTCCTGCCACGGCAGCAGCCGCATCAACTGAAGGCGCTGAATCTGACAGTGACAGCAGTGGGGATATCTTCGACTCGACCATCGAAAGCAGCTTGCTCGCCAAATTACCTGCAAATTCTCCTGCCACGGCAGCAGTAGAATTTGCAGCGACTCAGCGCTTTAGAATGTGAAGGCGCTGAGTCTGACAGTGACAGCGGTGGGGATATCTTTCCTCACCTTCCTCCCTTGTATTGCCACGCCCCACACCAGGTGGAGTTGACAGGCTTTGCTGCTGCTCCTGCCACGACAGCAGCAGCAGCAACTGAAGGCGCTGAGTCAGATAGTGACAGCAGTGGGGATATCTTCGACTACCGACGGAAATACCTCCCCACGCAGCAGGTAATGCTCAGTCCTCGCCTCCCTCCGTGCCTCTCAGCCACTCGCCTCTTCTCCTCCCTCTCCCTCCGCGATTGCGCCCGCCTTGACTGATGGTTCCTCCTTGCTTTCTGCCTTCTCCTCTCCCTACCTCTCCAACTGACCCTCCTTCCCACATTCTTCCTTATTCCCTCATATTTACTTTAATCTGTCTGCTATCCCTCCCCCCCCCCCCCCCCCCCCCCCCCCCCCCCCCCCCCCCCCCCCCCCCCTTCTACAGGTTCTTTACTCCACGCCGCCGCGCTTCCCTCCTTCCATCCTCTCCTCCCTCCGCGCCTCAGCCACGCGCCTCTTCTCCTCCCTCTCCCTCCGCGACTGTGCCCGCCTCGACGGATGGTTCCTCCCGCCTTCCTCCCCCGCTTACACCCTCGTGCTGGCTGGGCTAAGAGCTAGTGGCAACAGAGGGCAGGAGGAGTGGGAGGAGTCGGAGGAGAAGTATAAAGAGGGAATAGTGGTGTTTTCGGATGTGAATATTGTGAGCGGCATGGAGCAAACGTCTTTTCTCTTCCAGCAGGCTGCGTTGGTGAGTGGGTGTTCCTTCTTGCTCGCTCAGTATTGTCATATGCCATATGCTAATATCGAGTACAATGTCTCTGGATGTCAAAATGGTTAGCCTGCTCCAGATGTGGTCTTCTCTCTATGCCCTATCTGCCTGCAGGCTGTACCCGATCTAAGCCCTCATTCACTGATCCTACGCTGGATCCTCTCCAGATACGGCCTCCCTCTCCCCAGTGTGTTCCGAGTCAACTCGAACCAAACTCTTACCTCTTCTCTCTCCCCCATACTCCCCACAGGTGGGCCTGTCTCATTCACTCATCCTACGCTGGATCCTCGCATCTGCCTGCTCCAGATACGGCCTTCCCCTCCCTCTCCACCCCCCTCCGGCTTCTCCTAGCGTCGGGGGTGTGGGAGAGGGGGGAGGTGGAGGGGAGGCAGGTGAAACAGGAGGGAGGCGGCAGCTGGTGTGGGTGCTATTTGGGGGCAGCACAGCAGAGCGCCAGGTGTCTCTGATCAGCGGAACCAACGTGTGGCTGAAGCTCAGGGCGTGCCCGCAGGTGGGTGTGTTACTCTCTCTTTGTGCGTGTGTGTCTGTGGTCCGTAGCTCATAGCTCTTAGCCTGTGCCCTCAACTCAACACCCGAGGGCAGCAGCAGAGCGCCAGGTGTCACTGATCAGCGGAACCAACGTGTGGCTGAAGCTCAGGGCATGCCCGCAGGTGGGTGTGTTACTCTCTCTTTGTGCGTGTGTGTCTGTGGTCCGTAGCTCATAGCTCGTAGCCTGTGCCCTCAACTCAACACCCGAGGGCAGCAGCAGAGCGCCAGGTGTCACTGATCAGCGGAACCAACGTGTGGCTGAAGCTCAGGGCATGCCCGCAGGTGGGTGTGTTACTCTCTCTTTGTGCGTGTGTGTCTGTGGTCCGTAGCTCATAGCTCGTAGCCTGTGCCCTCAACTCAACACCCGAGGGCAGCAGCAGAGCGCCAGGTGTCACTGATCAGCGGACGGAACCAATGTGTGGCTCAAGCTGCGTTCCTGCCCGCAGGTGTGTGTTTGTTTGTGTGTCTCTGTGAAAAATTGCCTTTGATCCGGAGCTCATAGCTCATGGCCCGTGCCTTCAACTCCACACCCGGGGGCAGCACAGCAGAGCGCCAGGTGTCTCTGATCAGCGGCACCAACGTGTGGCTCAAGTTGAGGGCATGCCCGGAGGTGCGTTTGCCGTGCTGTGCTGTTGCCCATACCCTCTCCGATAGGTGAGCAGCACAGCACAGCGCCAGGTGTCTCTGATCAGCGGCACCAACGTGTGGCTCAAGCTGCGTTCCTGCCCGCAGGTGTGCTTGTCTCTGTGTGTGCGCGTTGGTGTGCTGTGCTGTTCTGTTCCGCATGCGCTCTCCCATAGCCCATCCCCCCTCTTCCATAGCCCATCCCCCCTCTCCCATAGCCCATCCCCCCTCTCCCATAGCCCATCCCTCCTCTCCCATAGCCCATCCCCCTCTCCCATAGCCCATCCCCCCTCTCCCATATCCCATCCCCCCTCTCCCATATCCCATCCCCCCTCTTCCGTAGCCCATCCCCCCTCTCCCATATCCCATCCCCCCTCTCCCATATCCCATCCCCCCTCTTCCGTAGCACATCCCCCCTCTCCCATAGTCTATGCCCTTCTTCTCCCTATCCCTTCTCACATCCCATCTCTCTTTCCCTCTCCCTATCTTCTCTCCCTCAGTTTGACGTGCAACCGTTCCTTCTCTCTCCTTCACACGACAGCAGCAGCAACACAGCCGGGATCAGTAGCAGCAGCAGCAGCAGCAACGGCTCGAGCCCCGGGTTTCTGTCGTTGAGTGAACGAGCGGCGTGGGCCGCTGAAGTCGACACTGTCTGGTCCCTCCCGTAAGCACCTGCTCTCGTTACTGTGGCACTGCACTGTAAGCAGCTGCTGTGGCACTGCACTGTAAGCTTCTCCTCGTTGTAACTGCTAAAAAAGCAGCTTAAGCAACGGTTTGAGCCCTGGTTCTCTGTCATTGAGTAAGCGAGCGGCGTGGGCAGCAGAAGTCGACACTGTCTGGTCCCTCTCGTAAGCATTGTTCTAGACTGGAACATTGAACGAGCCTTTGCTTGGAGGGAGTTGATTAAGAAGATGTTTTCAACGAGCCCTTGCTTGGAGGGAGTTGACTAAGAAGATGTTTTCAACGAGCCCTTGCTTGGAGGGAGTTGACTAAGAAGATGTTTTCAACGAGCCCTTGCTTGGAGGGAGTTGACTAAGAAGATGTTTTCAACGAGCCCTTGCTTGGGGGGAGTTGACTAAGAAGATGTTTTCAACGAGCCCTTGCTTGGAGGGAGTTGACTAAGAAGATGTTTTCAACCATCCCTTGCTGGGATGATAGCACATGCCTGCTTGTACCGGAGTATTTTCAAGTCGTGTGCCATTGTAACTTTTGTGTCACCTCAAAGGATGGGTCGTGCTTGGAGTTGACTAAGCCGATTGGATGATAGCACGTGCCTGCTTGTATGGAGTATTTTTTAGTTGGAGATGTTGTGGCTTGAGCTGCTTGTGTCGATTGTTCAAATGTCTGCTTGTGAACAAACGACCTTTATTTTCCCCTTTTGTGAGTCGGCTAAAAAACATTCCTTCTCCCTTTTTTTTTTTGGCGGTGATTGAATAGGTACCCTGCAATCCTGCGGCACACTGTAGAGGAAGTCGAGGCTGCTTGTTTAGAAGCATCAAGAGAAACATCTAGGCTAAACGAAGCCGAAGCAGCAGCAGCAGCAGCAGCAGAAGCAGCAGAAGCAGCAGAAGCAGCAGAAGCAGCAGCAGCAGCAGCAGAGGCACTTCTGCCTCCTCTTCCCCCCCACACTCTCTCCTGTCTTCTCTCCAGCAATCCATCGAACAAGCACTCGTGGGGAGGGATGAACCCTCTTTATCTGGTGGTGCTGATGGTGTTGCTGCTGCTGGTCGCTTTGGGGATGTGGATGTGCGTGTGTCGCCGAGACAGATGTCGCTCCGTGATTGGGTGGCTGCTGCGAAAGCACAAGGCGCAGTTGTGTTCATCGCAGGTACGCCACGCCACCCCCCTTCTCCACTCCCCTGCCTCAGCTCCCCCCCTTCTCCACTCCCCTGCCTCAGCCCCCCCCCTTCTCCACTCCCCTGCCTCAGCCCCCTTTCTCCTGCGAAAGGGGTGTTCACAAGGCGCAGTTGTGTCCTCAGCTTCTGTTCCGCATGCCCTTCTCCACTCCCCTGCCTCAGCCCCTGCTGAAGCACCAAGAAAGGCATTCGCCCTTCTCTTTGCTTCTCCTCACTCCCCTTTCTCCTCCCCCCCCCCCCCCTCCCCGAAACCCGGACACAGGCGAGGACAAGTCAACGAGAGTTACTGTCAACAAGTGAATGATGCCCGCTAGTTTTCTTCTCTCTCTCTTTCCTTCCCCCTCCTCGGCCCCACCCCCCTTTCCCCCTGTCTCCTCCAAACCCTCCCCCCAGTGCATGGAGGCATAGGGGAGGACGGCACGTTACAGCACTTCCTGGAGCAAGGGGGGGCGCCCTTTAATCCCCTTCCCCCTCGGCCCCACCCCCCTTTCCCCCTGTCTCCTCCAAACCCTCCCCCCAGTGCAAGGAGGCATAGGCGAGGACGGCACGTTACAGCACTTCCTGGAGCAAGGGGGAGTGCCCTTTACTCCCCTTCCTCCTCGGCCCCACCCCCCTTTCCCCCTGTCTCCTCCAAACCCTCCCCCCAGTGCATGGAGGCATAGGGGAGGACGGCACGTTACAGCACTTCCTGGAGCAAGGGGGGGCGCCCTTTAATCCCCTTCCCCCTCGGCCCCACCCCCCTTTCCCCCTGTCTCCTCCAAACCCTCCCCCCAGTGCAAGGAGGCATAGGCGAGGACGGCACGTTACAGCACTTCCTGGAGCAAGGGGGAGTGCCCTTTACTCCCCTTCCTCCTCGGCCCCACCCCCCTTTCCCCCTGTCTCCTCCAAACCCTCCCCCCAGTGCATGGAGGCATAGGGGAGGACGGCACGTTACAGCACTTCCTGGAGCAAGGGGGGGCGCCCTTTAATCCCCTTCCCCCTCGGCCCCACCCCCCTTTCCCCCTGTCTCCTCCAAACCCTCCCCCCAGTGCAAGGAGGCATAGGCGAGGACGGCACGTTACAGCACTTCCTGGAGCAAGGGGGAGTGCCCTTTACTCCCCTTCCTCCTCGGCCCCACCCCCCTTTCCCCCTGTCTCCTCCAAACCCTCCCCCCAGTGCAAGGAGGCATAGGCGAGGACGGCACGTTACAGCACTTCCTGGAGCAAGGGGGGGCGCCCTTTAATCCCCTTCCCCCTCGGCCCCACCCCCCTTTCCCCCTGTCTCCTCCAAACCCTCCCCCCAGTGCAAGGAGGCATAGGCGAGGACGGCACGTTACAGCACTTCCTGGAGCAAGGGGGAGTGCCCTTTACTCCCCTTCCTCCTCGGCCCCACCCCCCTTTCCCCCTGTCTCCTCCAAACCCTCCCCCCAGTGCATGGAGGCATAGGGGAGGACGGCACGTTACAGCACTTCCTGGAGCAAGGGGGGGCGCCCTTTAATCCCCTTCCCCCTCGGCCCCACCCCCCTTTCCCCCTGTCTCCTCCAAACCCTCCCCCCAGTGCAAGGAGGCATAGGCGAGGACGGCACGTTACAGCACTTCCTGGAGCAAGGGGGAGTGCCCTTTACTCCCCTTCCTCCTCGGCCCCACCCCCCTTTCCCCCTGTCTCCTCCAAACCCTCCCCCCAGTGCAAGGAGGCATAGGCGAGGACGGCACGTTACAGCACTTCCTGGAGCAAGGGGGAGTGCCCTTTACTCCCCTTCCTCCTCGGCCCCACCCCCCTTTCCCCCTGTCTCCTCCAAACCCTCCCCCCAGTGCATGGAGGCATAGGGGAGGACGGCACGTTACAGCACTTCCTGGAGCAAGGGGGGGCGCCCTTTAATCCCCTTCCCCCTCGGCCCCACCCCCCTTTCCCCCTGTCTCCTCCAAACCCTCCCCCCAGTGCAAGGAGGCATAGGCGAGGACGGCACGTTACAGCACTTCCTGGAGCAAGGGGGAGTGCCCTTTACTCCCCTTCCTCCTCGGCCCCACCCCCCTTTCCCCCTGTCTCCTCCAAACCCTCCCCCCAGTGCAAGGAGGCATAGGCGAGGACGGCACGTTACAGCACTTCCTGGAGCAAGGGGGGCGCCCTTTAATCCCCTTCCCCCTCGGCCCCACCCCCCTTTCCCCCTGTCTCCTCCAAACCCTCCCCCCAGTGCAAGGAGGCATAGGCGAGGACGGCACGTTACAGCACTTCCTGGAGCAAGGGGGAGTGCCCTTTACTCCCCTTCCTCCTCGGCCCCACCCCCCTTTCCCCCTGTCTCCTCCAAACCCTCCCCCCAGTGCATGGAGGCATAGGGGAGGACGGCACGTTACAGCACTTCCTGGAGCAAGGGGGAGTGCCCTTTACTCCCCTTCCTCCTCGGCCCCACCCCCCTTTCCCCCTGTCTCCTCCAAACCCTCCCCCCAGTGCATGGAGGCATAGGGGAGGACGGCACGTTACAGCACTTCCTGGAGCAAGGGGGAGTGCCCTTTACTCCCCTTCCTCCTCGGCCCCACCCCCCTTTCCCCCTGTCTCCTCCAAACCCTCCCCCCAGTGCATGGAGGCATAGGGGAGGACGGCACGTTACAGCACTTCCTGGAGCAAGGGGGGGCGCCCTTTAATCCCCTTCCCCCTCGGCCCCACCCCCCTTTCCCCCTGTCTCCTCTAAACCCTCCCCCCAGTGCACGGAGGCATAGGCGAGGACGGCACGTTGCAGCACCTGCTGGAGCACGAGAGAGTGCCCTTCACTGGTGAGAGGCTTGTGAATTTGCTCATGCGAGTTGACTTTTGAGTCGACTCAAAAGTCAACCCTTCACTGGTGAGAGGCTTGTGAATTGTCTCACGCGAAACACAGTATTACATCTGACTCTTGAGTTGACTCAAAGGCCAAGAGGCGTAGGGGAGGACGGCACGCTACAGCACCTGCTGGAGCACGAGGGAGTGCCCTTCGCTGGTGAGTGAGAGGCGTGGTTACCTGTTCGCACACAATAAGCTCCTGTCTTTTTTAGTCGACTCTATAGCTGAACCTCTTACACAGAATAACTCCTTGTGAATGTTTCTTGTCGACAAAAAGTCGGAAATGTCGGTTGTTCCTGTGAATAACTGACATTTCGAAATGGCAAGTTTTGAGGCGCCTCAAAACGTGAATAACTGACATTTCGAAATGGCAAGTTTTGAGGCGCCTCAAAACGTGAATAACTGACATTTCGAAATGGCAAGTTTTGAGGCGCCTCAAAACGTGAATAACTGACATTTCAAAATGGCAAGTTTTGAGGCGCCTCAAAACGTGAATAACTGAGATTTCGAAATGGCAAGTTTTGAGGCGCCTCAAAACGTGAATAACTGACATTTCGAAATGGCAAGTTTTGAGGCGCCTCAAAACGTGAATAACTGACATTTCGAAATGGCAAGTTTTGAGGCGCCTCAAAACGTGAATAACTGACATTTCGAAATGGCAAGTTTTGAGGCGCCTCAAAACGTGACTAACTGACATTTCGAAATGGCAAGTTTTGAGGCGCCTCAAAACGTGACTAACTGACATTTCGAAATGGCAAGTTTTGAGGCGCCTCAAAACGTGAATAACTGAGATTTCGAAATGGCAAGTTTTGAGGCGCCTCAAAACGTGACTAACTGACATTTCGAAATGGCAAGTTTTGAGGCGCCTCAAAACCTGACTAACTGACATTTCGAAATGGCAAGTTTTGAGGCGCCTCAAAACGTGAATAACTGACATTTCGAAATGGCAAGTTTTGAGGCGCCTCAAAACGTGAATAACTGACATTTCGAAATGGCAAGTTTTGAGGCGCCTCAAAACTTGAATAACTGACATTTCGAAATGGCAACTGGCAAGTCGAAATGTCGGTTGTTCTAGCTTGCACCTGACGGATCCGTCTGCCCCCCGTGCAGGTTCTGGCTCTGAAGCATCTCAACTGTGTATGGACAAGGTCGCAACAGGCCAGGCCATCTCCCATGTGAGTCACGAAGTTGGTGCATGGGTGTGTGCATGGGTGTGTGCCTGTGTGAGTGTGTGGGTGTGTGCATGGGTGTGCATGGGCGCCTAAATGCGCTTGTTCCGTCTGAAGCATCGCAGCTGTGTATGGACAAGGTCGCCACGGGCCAGGCCATCTCTCATGTGAGTCACGAATGTGGAGATGGGTGCAGATGGGTGTGTAAGCGTTTGTTTGGCTCTGGACCCTTGCTCAGCTGTGTATGGACAAGGTCGCCACGGGCCAGGCCATCTCTCATGTGAGTCATGACTCGAGGAAAGGAAGGGTCCACAGGTGTGTGTGCGTGTCTGTCTGCATGTGCTTGTCCGTATCTGAAGCGTCTCAGCTGTGTATGGACAAGGTCGCAACGGGCCAGGCCATCTCTCATGTGAGTCATGACTCGAGGAAAGGAAGGGTGCACAGGTGTGTGTGCATGTCTGTCTGCATGTGCTTGTCCGTATCTGAAGCGTCTTAGCTGTGTATGGACAAGGTCGCAACTGGCCAGGCGATTGCTCCTGTGAGTCGTGACTGTTGAGTGAGATACCCTGGCCTGGATCACCCTGGCCTGGATATTCAATACGTGATACAGGTAGATGCGTGGATGCACGCATGTGTGGCGGCTGGGCAAGTGGGTGAGTGAATCTGCTTCTTTGGGTGGGTGAGTGAACCTGCTTCTTTGGGACTCTCTGCTGTTGTGTGAGCGTCTCAGCTGTGCATTAACAAGGTTGCTTTCCTTCTTACTCACTCTCCTACTGTCTCTCTTCCTTTCCTTGCCTCCAGCTCACCTCACAAGGGATCTTCTCAGCACGGAAGCTGCTCCTGTTCCTAGACCAGTTGCTGCCCTGTGCTGCTGCTGCTGCTGCTGCTGCTGCCGCTACTTCTGCTACTTAATCGCTTTCCTTCCTACTTGCTCTCTTCTCTTCCTTTCCTTGCCTCCAGCTCACCTCACAAGGGATCTTCTCAGCACGGAAGCTGCTCCTGTTCCTAGACCAGTTGCTGCCCTGTGCTGCTGCTGCTGCTGCTGCTGCTGCTGCTGCTGCTGCTGCTGCTGCTGCTGCTGCTGCTGCCGCTACTTCTGCTACTTAATCGCTTTTCTTCCTACTTGCTCTCTTCTCTTCCTTTCCTTGCCTCCAGCTCACCTCACAAGGGATCTTCTCAGCACGGAAGCTGCTCCTGTTCCTAGACCAGTTGCTGCCCTGTGCTGCTGCTGCTGCTGCTGCTGCTGCTGCTGCTGCTGCTGCTGCTGCTACTTCTGCTACTTAATCGCTTTCCTTCCTACTTGCTCTCTTCTCTTCCTTTCCTTGCCTCCAGCTCACCTCACAAGGGATCTTCTCAGCTCGGAAGCTGCTCCTGTCCCTAGACCAGTTGCTGCCCTGTGCTGCTGCTTCTGCTCCTTCCTCTGGTGCTGCTGGTGATGGTGGTGCTAGTGCTGGTGCTGCTGATGCCACGTGGCAGCGTCTGATTGGAGAGCTCCAGGCGGACTCGTTCTGTGTAAAGCCCGCGACAGACGGGTGCTCTGCTGGCGTCGCCCGGCTCGCGTGAGTGCAATGCGGTGCAAAACATTGCGGAGTGGTTTGATGCGGTGTAGCAGGCTGCATTGGGGTGGAGAGGGGTGACAGCCAGTTTGGTGGAGGCGTATATTGAGTATTCCCAAATTTTGCTTTATACCCCCTGCCTCTTTTCAACCTTTTTCCCCCCCTTCCCTGTGTGTTGGTTTGATCTTTTCCCGTCCCAGCACCCCATCTGATCTAGCAGCCTACATTGCAGCAGTCAGGGATGCTGCCCCTCGCCTGCTACCAGGCCAGCTTTCTACGGTGAGTGGGTGGGTGCACAGTGGGTGCATGATTGGGTCCACAGTGGGTGCATGATTGGGTCCACAGTGGGTGCATGATTGGGTCCACAGTGGGTGCATGATTGGGTCCACAGTGGGTGCATGATTGGGTCCACAGTGGGTGCATGATTGGGTCCACAGTGGGTGCATGATTGGGTCCACAGTGGGTGCATGATTGGGTCCACAGTGGGTGCATGATTGGGTCCACAGTGGGTGCATGATTGGGTCCACAGTGGGTGCATGATTGGGTCCACAGTGGGTGCATGATTGGGTCCACAGTGGGTGCATGATTGGGTCCACAGTGGGTGCATGATTGGGTCCACAGTGGGTGCATGATTGGGTCCACAGTGGGTGCATGATTGGGTCCACAGTGGGTGCATGATTGGGTCCACAGTGGGTGCATGATTGGGTCCACAGTGGGTGCATGATTGGGTCCACAGTGGGTGCATGATTGGGTCCACAGTGGGTGCATGATTGGGTCCACAGTGGGTGCATGATTGGGTCCACAGTGGGTGCATGATTGGGTCCACAGTGGGTGCATGATTGGGTCCACAGTGGGTGCATGATTGGGTCCACAGTGGGTGCATGATTGGGTCCACAGTGGGTGCATGATTGGGTCCACAGTGGGTGCATGATTGGGTCCACAGTGGGTGCATGATTGGGTCCACAGTGGGTGCATGATTGGGTCCACAGTGGGTGCATGATTGGGTCCACAGTGGGTGCATGATTGGGTCCACAGTGGGTGCATGATTGGGTCCACAGTGGGTGCATGATTGGGTCCACAGTGGGTGCATGATTGGGTCCACAGTGGGTGCATGATTGGGTCCACAGTGGGTGCATGATTGGGTCCACAGTGGGTGCATGATTGGGTCCACAGTGGGTGCATGATTGGGTCCACAGTGGGTGCATGATTGGGTCCACAGTGGGTGCATGATTGGGTCCACAGTGGGTGCATGATTGGGTCCACAGTGGGTGCATGATTGGGTCCACAGTGGGTGCATGATTGGGTCCACAGTGGGTGCATGATTGGGTCCACAGTGGGTGCATGATTGGGTCCACAGTGGGTGCATGATTGGGTCCACAGTGGGTGCATGATTGGGTCCACAGTGGGTGCATGATTGGGTCCACAGTGGGTGCATGATTGGGTCCACAGTGGGTGCATGATTGGGTCCACAGTGGGTGCATGATTGGGTCCACAGTGGGTGCATGATTGGGTCCACAGTGGGTGCATGATTGGGTCCACAGTGGGTGCATGATTGGGTCCACAGTGGATGCATGATTGGGTCCACAGTGTGCGCGATTGAGTGAGTGAGTGAGTAGTTGCAACTTGCTCTAATCAATGCGTGATTGAGCAGTCAGGGATGCATGGCTGCATAGCTCCCCGCCTGCTACCCGGGCCAGCTATGCACGGGTAGTTGAAATGCCTGTCCGCCCCCGACCCATCTGCTCTTCGTACCCTTCACGGAAACAGACCCCATTCTCCCTTTCCTCCTCCCCCCCTGCTACTGCTTCTATGCCTCCCCTCCCCCGACCCATCTGCTCTTCGTACCCTTCACAGAAACAGACCCCAACTTCCCTTTTCACCCCCCCTGCCCCAACTCTCCTCTGCCTTCCTCTGTTCCTCTCGCCCCTCCTCCCCCCTGCTACTGCTTCTATGCCTCCCCTCCCCCGACCCATCTGCTCTTTGTACCCTTCACAGAAACAGACCCCAACTTCCTTTTCCACCCCCCCTGCCCCAACTCTCCTCTGTCTTCCTCTCTTCCTCTCGCCCCTCCTCCCCCCTGCTACTGCTTCTATGCCTCCCCTCCTCCAACTCATCTGCTCTTCTTACCCTTCACCGAAACAGACCCCATTCTCCCTTTCCACCCCCCCCTGCCCCAACTCTCCTCTGTCTTCCTCTCTTCCTCTCGCCCCTCCTCCCCCCTGCTACTGCTTCTATGCCTCCCCTCCCCCCAAATCCCCCAGCTATGTGGGATAGTGGAAATGCCTGTTCGCCCCCCAACTCATCTGCTCTTCGAACCCTTTATTGAAACAGACCCCGTTCTTTTTTTCTTAACCTCCATGTCCCTCCCCCCCGGTCTTCCATTCCATCTCCCCCCCCCCCCGGTCTTCCATTCCATCTCCCCCCCCCGGTCTTCCATTCCATCTCCCCCCCCCCGGTCTTCCATTCCATCTCCCCCCCCCCGGTCTTCCATTCCATCTCCCCCCTTCCACCACTCTCTCCCCCTCCCCAGCTATGTGGGATAGTGGAGATGCCTGTTCGCCCCCCAACTCATCTGCTCTTCGAACCCTTTATTGAAACAGACCCCGTTCTTCTTCTATTAACCTCCATGTCCCTTCCCCCCTCCCCCCCCCCCCCCCCACCCCCCCCCCCCCCCGGTCTTCCATTCCATCTCCCCCCTTCCACCACTCTCTCCCCCTCCCCAGCTATGTGGGATAGTGGAGATGCCTGTTCGCCCCCCAACTCATCTGCTCTTCGAACCCTTTATTGAAACAGACCCCGTTCTTCTTTTATTAACCTCCATGTCCCTCCCCCCCTCCCCCCCCCTCCCACCCCCCCCCCCCGGTCTTCCATTCCATCTCCCCCCTTCCACCACTCTCTCCCCCTCCCCAGCTATGTGGGATAGTGGAGATGCCTGTTCGCCCCCCAACCCAACCCAACCCATCTGCTCTTCGAACCTTTCATCGAAACACACCCCCGTTCTGCTTTTCCTGCTCTTTTAGACTTCCTCCGTTCTCTAACACTTCTTTTCTCCCCACCCTCTCCCAATTTCCTGCTGTGTGGGATAGTGGAGATGCCTGTTCGCCCCCCAACCCAACCCATCTGCTTTATCGAAACAGACCCTGTTTGACCACTCTCCACCTCTCCACTTCTTCTTTTCTTCGTCTCCCCTCCCCTCCCCAGCTGTGTGGGATAGTGGAAATGCCTGTTCGCCCCCCGACCCACCTCCTCTTCGAACCCTTTATCGAAACAGACCCCATTCGACCGCTGGCAACCGCACAGCAGCAACAGAACCAGCAGCAGCAGCAGGAGGAGGAAGAGGAAGCGGAGGGCACGTGTGACAATAATGAGGGGCTGGTGTGGGAGGGGAGGAGGCGGTGGGTGGAGGTGACTGTAGGGGTGGTGGGGCACCGGGGCAGGATGAGGGCTCTGGCCCCGAGTGTGACTGTAAAGGAGGCTGGAGACGTGCTAACACTGGAGGAGAAGTTTCAAGGTGAGTGTGACAATAACGAGGGGCTGGTGTGGGAGGGGAGTTGGTGGGGCACCGGGGAAGGATGAGGGCTCTGGCCCCGAGTGTGACTGTAAAGGAGGCTGGAGACGTGCTCACACTGGAGGAGAAGTTCCAAGGTGAGTGTGACTGTAGAGATACGACTCTCTGTAGGTTGTGACCCTAGAAAGTGGTGTATTAGCAAGCGTTGATGAAGGTGTTGCAAGTTTCTAATACCGAATGAAGTGTCACAAATGTGCTGTTATATTTTAACTTGTCTGAAGCATTCAAAACTTAATTTCAATCCGTGGTTGCCTGTCACCCCTGGCCATCCCCTTCCATCCATGCACCGTTCTAATCCCAGGTGGCACTGGCATCAACCTCACTCCGCCTCCAACATCCATCATCGGGTATTGCCCCTTCTTCCCTTCAGTCACTGAGTCTTCTCGAACTCTTCCCTTCACACACACACCCTCTCTCTTCTGCTGCACCATTGTGCCGCCACCTCATTCCCACACGTGGCAGCGCCCTTGCCCACCTTTTTTTTTTTTTTTTTAGGCGCCTCAAAAATCTCTGTTCTGCTGCACCATTGTGCCACCACCTCATTCCCACACGTGGCAGCATCCTTGGCCACTTTTTGTTTTACCAAACATTCAATTATGCTCTAAATGCCACTCTTTGTCAAACCTCAAAAACTGCTTTTACTTGAAATTCAAGTTTGCCTGGCTGTGCATTTTTTAGGTGCCTCAAAATTCGCCCAAGAGGCTGTTTGAATGTGTGCGAGCTTGTCGGGATGGAGAACGACCAAATATCCCAGTATTGATGGCTTCACGTATGGCTGCTTAGAATCTATTATTATGATTAATTACTATTATTTTGTCTCTTTTTGCATCTCTCCACCTCCCTCCCCAGTGCAAGAGCCCAAAAGGAGGGCAAGAGACGCATTGAGATGGTAGCCAATGCTCTTAACATTGATGGTTTCGCCCGAATTGATGCCTTCATGCATGCAGACACTGGCGAGGTGAGTGGGTTGACTGGGTTGAACTCTGCACGTTCTTTCCACACACGTGTAGTTTTTTATGAGTAGTATTTTTGTTCCCTTTCCTAATTTTGTGCATGGGTTTCTCGTCTTTCGTTATTTATTGTGCAGGTGATTGTTATTGAGGCTAACACTGTCCCGGGCATGACTCCGTCAACTGTGCTCATGCACCAGGTGGCCTTTTAAGCCTTTTACATTAGGTACTTAATTATTAGCCTCATTTTTCTCACTCATACTTTTGTCTGTTTCTTTATCCTGCAGGCCCTAGCTGAGTCACCACCAATTCGACCACGAGATTTTTTTGCCATGGCAGTTGAGCATGCAATAGAAAGGCATACAAACAGTGATGTGTAATTAGTGTACTTGAGCTACAACAAACTTCACTGCTTAGGTGTAGTGTTATTGAACTCTGAAATTGTTGTAGAGCATATCGATGTAGGGACGAGGGGATTTTTCAGGTGTGTGTGATGTCTCGGTCGCTGAACGTCGCCAACGGTGTCCACCAATCAGACCCAGGCAGAACCTTGATGTCAAGGAGGTTGAGGGGCAACGGATGAGATTGCAGGATCTGGGCGATTCTACAGCAAATCAACGTTGTTCGTGAAGACCTCGCAGACCTCCCCTGGTTGTCCTGAAACAGTGGTCAGTCGCACCTTCGGCATTTTCGAGGGCTTGGGCGACAACAGCAGCCTTGGAGTTTGGCTTGGGATTTTCTTTCCTCACATGCTGGCGTCGCACCTGCCTGCCCAATTGTCGCACTTCTTCGCCCTGATTTCGTCAGTCGCCAGCCATTAGAACCTGGCGTGCATTCTGTGTGCTATGCATTTCCCCTGCGACACCACTGGTCGTACGTTCGTCGTGCCATGGCCGTCTTTCCCGTACGACGATTATAGGATCATGCGAAAATCGTTACCTCCATCCATCCCCTCCATCGCTCTCTTACGATGCTCTGATTTCAATGCTGCCTGGAGGGGTTGATTGGAGCAGCCGACAGTTGTTGCTTGTTTTAGATATTCGGAGGATGTTCCACTATCAGGGGTTTTGTTTCTTTTGTTCGAAGTTTTCTTTTCCAAAGAGCTCAAAATTTCATTTTTTTGTTCCTCTTCCTTCGCGGAAGCTTACCGTAGCAGAGAACACGCCGATTTTTTTAGGCCTGTTTCTGAATAGCGGAGAATTTCGGCTATTTTTTGTTGCCATCCGAGGGTTAGCAGTTTACACTGCAATGGCCTTGTTATGAGGTCTTAATCAACGCGTTTTGCACGAGCGCTTACCGTATATGCCGCATTTCTCGACGGTAGTTTTTATCCCGAGACCGTTGTTGGTCATAAAATGGCGAATTCTGGAAAAAGCGGACGGAAAGACAAATCGACTTCAGGCCGTCCTACGGCACAGAAGCTGCGAAGGAGAGGCTCAGATTCCCGAATCCAGAAAACTGAGGATCAGTCTAGGGACGAAACTCCGTTATTGACGGCTTCAGTAACAGAACAGAGCACGCTGCTGCATAGCACCGAGAATAAGGAGGACGAAAAGCCAGAGATACTTCCTCAAGTTCGAGCCGTGATTCCCGGTCCTACGCCTGGATCTCGCGTGACTATAGTGGTTGGAAGTAGTATCCATGAGATCTGTCTCGTTCCGCTGCTGCAAATTAGATGGATCAGGCCGCAGAAGGTCGGACCTGGGTTGCGAAATTTGGGTAACACGTGTTACCTGAACAGCGTGCTACAATGCTTGACATACACGCCACCGCTCGCGAATTTCTGCCTGCAGCAGCAGCACACCAAGATCTGTGAGTTCCTGATGAGACATACGTTGATCCCGTAGTTTATCGAGTTTCTCCCCGTTGTTGCTGTCACTAATACCGTTAGCTCCAGCCTGATACACATTACTTGCCAGTATCGGTGTGCAGCAACAGCAACAGCAACAGTGTAGGATTTTTGAATGCGATTTTCTGCACAAAAGGTTAGGCAGAGTTGAAAAGATCCTTTTTATTTTCCACCTGAACCGTGCTCAGATTCTTGAACCAGTTTTTTCCTCAATTAGTCGTCGTAGGTTAGCTTTCTTGCAGTTCGGATAGATATCTGGCAGACAAGAAATAGCAGCACTGAAATAGGAACCGCTTGCCAGTACGCAGTAGCATCCGCGAGTGATGGTTGGCCTTTTCCCGTTTAATTTAGCATCACTCGTTCAGACTGGCGCTAGTCAGTTCATATAAACAACTAGACAGTTCAGATTAGCATTCAGCCAGTCCAGATTCGCAAGCTGTACGTTCCCATAAGCATTCAGCCACTTCAAAGTGGCATTCAGTCACTTCAGATAAGACCTGTCAGTCAAAAGGTGGCATTCAGCCTGTTCAGATCAGCATTCAGTCAGTCCAGATGAGCATTCAGTCAATCCAGATGAGCATTCTGTCAGTGCAGATGAGCATTCAGTCAGTCCAGATGAGCATTCAGTCAGTCCAGATGAGCATTCAGTCAGTCCAGATGAGCATTCAGTCAGTCCAAATGAGCATTTCAGGCAGTCCAATGTAGCACTCAGTCAGCCCAGATGGCATTCAGTCAGACCCGGTTCACATTGGACAGACGGTTTGGCCTAAGGATTAAGTGAAGTCTCATCTTTTTGAGTCCATAACTAATGCATCTCGTCAGTTGTTACAGTCAGACGTTAAGTTTAGTTGAGATTTTGCTTCACGTCTTCTTTCCGCGCTCCTGCTGCTCTCTTAGATGCCTCTGCTTCCTTGTTGGCGACCTTTATGTCCTTCTAAACCCCTCTCACTCCCTCCCACCTCCCCTGCTCAGGTGCGCTGCTGAACCCTGGGGGAACAGCGTCTTGCCCGTTTTGCATTCTCGAGCGCCGTGTCGCCCGTTCTTTGACTCTCGAGGCTGCCCGGGACACGCCTAGGGTTGTAGTGAACCGTTTAAAGCTCATTGCCAAGAGCTTCAGTCATGGCCGGCAAGAGGACGCACATGAGCTGCTACGATACGCGATAGAAGCATGCAACAGAGCGTGTGTAGCCCTGCACAAGAAGGTGGCTGCTGCAGCCGCAGCTGCTGCTGCTTCTGCTGCTTCTGCAGCTGTTGCTGGTGCTACTAATGGGCCGAATTGCAGTCCGGGTGTGACTAAAGCGGAGCCTGTGAGAGCACTGAACCAGCTTGTGGAAGGGATGTCTTTAAACGAGGGGGGCAGCGTTCAGAAGATGCACACGAGACGAAGCTCTAGATTATCCCTAGACAGAGCAAACAGCGATAGGGAATCAGCTCAGGAAGGCTCGTTCCCCCAGCAGTTTGCCACAGATCAGCAGCAGTCAATGCAGTTAGGCGAGTTGACAGGCAGTCAGGGATCTTTAGTGCCTCAGTTAGGAGACCCTGTGGAGAACACTGATATGGACGTAGATGTGGACGTAAACGTAGACGTAGACGTAGCAGAAGTGCCTGAACCGTCTGCTGCTTCCGCATCAGCGTCTGCTACAGGTTCATCAGCAGCAGCGGCTGCAGTGGATGAGGCAGATGTAGCAGCGGCTGGTAGCAGCAGCAGCGGGGGTGGGAGCGTGCCTAGGAGGCGGATGAGCTTGAGAAGGCGAGGGTTCGCCACTGATGGGGAGGAAGAGGAGGACAAGGACGGGGGTTTTGGGCATGCGGGAGCAGGGGCGGGGGCGGGGAGGGGGGTGGGCGGAGGCTGGGCGCGGAAAGGAAGGGGAGTGGCGCTGCGGGTAGGGCTGCATGTCTTGCCCGTAAGGGGGAAGGGGCGAGGGGCAGGGGCGGCAGGGGCGGCCGCAGGGGCGGCAGCGGATCAGATTGGCTCACCTGGAAAATCTCCTGGTAGAGGGAAGGGAAGCCCCAGGGGAGGAGGAGGAGGAGGAGGCGCAGGTGGGGGCGGAACAGGGGAGGGAGGTGCAGGTGGACAGGACGAGCCACACACTATAGTGAAAGAGATTTTTGGTGGGATATTGCAGAGCCAGATTCGGTGCTTGCAGTGTGACGGGGAGTCTAATAAGAGGGACGCGATTCTGGACCTGAGTCTGGATGTGCATAGGCTGGGATCACTAAAAGACGCACTTAATAGGTTTACCAAGCCGGAAGTTCTGGATGGGGAGAATAGATACCGGTGTGATAAGTGCAACCGGCTGTCTGCTGCGCGAAAGGCGCTGACGATCTTTCATGCGCCCAACATTCTTGTCATTCAGTTCAAGGTGCGGACTGGATTGTTGGCTAGGTTGCACCTCCGCCGTTTTGACCTGCCTGTTCTGTCTGCTGCGTGAAAGCCGCTGACGATCAGCATTCTTGTACTATGTTGCTGTTTGTGTGCTTGCTTGCGTACTTGCTTGCATCCTTACCTTCCTGGCTGCAGAGGTTTGAGAACGTGTTTGGAGGCAAGATTGACCGGCACATTCGATTCGAGGAGCGTATCTCGTTGAAAGGCCACATGAGCAGCTGTAGCAAGGTGGGTCCAAGGATGAGTGCACATTGTCTGTAAACCGCTTCTGCCTGCTATCCTTCCTCTTCTCTTCTCCCCTTCACATCCCTCCCTGCTATGATCCCAACGAGAGCACATCGCTTGTTGCTCACCTGCCCACTAGTTTTCCTGCTTCCTCGCTCGGCTATCATCCCTCTCAGGATTCCCAGCCAGAGTACACGCTCTTTGGGGTGGTGGTCCACGCGGGGTCGTCTCACCTGTCCACATGCTGCCATCTCTATTCTCTCTGCTTCTCTGCTTCCCTGCTTTCATCTCTCTCAGGATTCCCAGCCAGAGTACACGCTCTTTGGCGTGGTGGTCCATGCGGGGTCGTCTCAAGACTCGGGCCATTACTATGCATACGTCAAGGTAGGTACACTGCTATGCTTATGTGGAGGTACGTGGTGATTATGTCGAGGTAAATGGTCGTGCTGATCCTTCTCCCTTTGCGTTTCCTATCAGGCAACACGGCCTGCGTGTTGTTATCCCTCCTTCCCTCTTTAATCCTTCGTCCGCTCCCCCTTCTCCCCCCCCCCTCACCCCCCACCTCCCTCCCTCCTCTCTGCAAGACTTCACGGGCAAGGATGTCCTGCTGTGACGTCTGCTCCGTCTCCCCAGTGGCTTCCCTATTAGGCAGCACGGCCTGCACCCTCTTATTCTTATAACTCCCCCCCTGCTTCATTCGTTCCCCCTCCCCCCTTCCCCCCCTTTTTCAGGACTCCACGGGCAAGTGGTCCTGCTATGACGACTGTTCCGTCTCCCCAGTGGCCCTCCCAGACGTCCTAGCAGACAAGGCCTAAATGCTCTTCTACCTCCGCCTCTCCCCCCAGCTCAACCTCCCTGTCTCCTCCGTGGCTCTCCTATTAGGCAACAAGGCCTACATTCTTGTAATGCCTCCACACCCGTTCCTTCTTCCTCCTTTGTTCCTCCCTTCCCTCCTCCAGGACTCCGCTGGCAAATGGTCATGCTGTGACGACTGTTCCGTCTCCCCAGTCGCCCTCCCAGACGTCCTAGCAGACAAGGCCTACATGCTCTTCTACCTCCGCCTCTCCCCATTCTCTCCCCTTTCCCTCCCCTATCTTACCCCCTTCTCTCCCCCTTCTCTCCCCCTTTTCAGGACTCCACTGGCAAGTGGTCCTGCTGTGATGATTGCTCCGTCTCCCCAGTGGCTCTCCCAGACGTCCTAGCAGACAAGGCCTACATGCTCTTCTACCTCCGCCTCTCCCCTCGCCCCCCCGGATCCACCTCCCTCTCCTCCCTCTCCTCGCCCACCTCCCCTCGCCCCTCCCACCGCTCGCCCGCTCCGCTGTCTCTAGACAGCAAGTCTCCTCTCTCTCCGTCTCGGTCTGGGAAGCTTGCTGCTCGCCGCCTGAGTGCGGATCTGCAGCTGTCAACTGCTGCTGCAGCAGCTGCTGCTTCTGCTGGCGCTGGTGTTGCTGCTGCCGGGGCCGGGGCTGGGGTTGCTGATTGTCTTGATGGTGCTACAGCTGCTACAGCCTCCCCACCTGGCCGCTGCACTACCCTTCCTGTGCATGCTCCCTTCCCGTCAGAACCCTGTGTAGCAGGTGCCAAGCCAGAACCACTAGAGACGGCAGCAGAGCCTGGTCCCTTGTCAGAAGCGGATTACATGGTTACACGTGCGCCATCACCAGGGCCTACAGAGCTGCCAGCAGCAGCAGTTGAGCAAGCAGAGGGAGAAGTAGAAACAGATGCTGAAGAAGTGGCAGTAGCAGAGGCAGAAGCGGAGGAAGAGTTACAAGGAGAGGAGGTTTTGGCAATGACAGATCTAGTAGGGGCCCGGGCAGGTGAAGCCGCAGGTGGGGCTCTACCTAAAGCCGTGTCTGCGCTTGCAGCTCTGGGGTTAGTGAGGAGGAGCGTTGCTGCCGCTGCTGCCCCTGCTGCTCTTGTTGCTGCTCCTGTTGCTGTTCCTGTTGCTGCTCCTGTTACTGCTCCCGCTGGTCCCTCTCCTCCTCCTGTTTCTGCTGCTGCCCCCTCTGCTCCTGTTATTGCTGCTGCTCTTCCTGCTGCTACGGTTGCTCCTGGGTTCGCTGCTCCTGAGTCTGCTGCTGCTGCGACAGCCACAGATGCAACAGCTGCTACAGCTGCTACAGGCGATGAGAGCGGGCGAAGGAGGGAGAGCAGCAGTAGCAGAGGAAAAAGCAGTGATAAGCATGGGGCGGTTTGTGGTGTTAAGCGAGTGGTTTTGGTGAAGAGAATTGCAGATCTTGCAGCAGATTCCTCTACTGCTGCTGCACCTCATTACATCTCTCTGCCTGCTGCTGTGCCTGCAGCTGCTCCTGCTTCTACTGCTGCCGCTCCTGCTTTTAGTAGTGCTGATTTTGTCTCTAATGCTGCTGTCGCTGTCCCCCTGGATGGCCATGAGTCAAGGACAGGTGCTGCTGGGTGTGCACGCACGGCAGCAGCAGTCAGCAGCAAGCGAGTTCCAGCGGCAGCAGCAGCACCAGCAGCAGCAGCTGTAGGAGTGGCACTAGCAGCACCACAAGTAGCAGCTGCAACAGCAGAAGCGGTTGTGGGGCTGGTGATTTCAGGTGCAGACACAGCAGCACATGCAGTTATGTTGCCTGAAACATCTGCTACATTAGCAGCACAGGGGAGTTTATCACCACACGAAGTTGCTTCATTAGCAGCGTCCACAGGGGTTTCCATGTGCCCATCTGCGGCAGCAAAGACTGAAACAGGAGCGTTATTGAGCACAACGAGATTCGAGCCCGCGACCTTTCGGGTCACAGTGAGGGGAAGTCAAGCTGCGGAGCCAGTCTCGAGGGAAGACACTTCTGGGGCATCTGTGCCCCACGAAATGGCAGCTGAGACGCGTCACTGGAAAGGGAGGGACGAGGGGTTGAAGGCAGGGGATGCAGAGAAGGATGGGAGTGCAGAGAAAGGCAGGGATGCAGAGGAAATTGGCAATGCGGAGAGGTATGAGGGCTTGCAAAACGAAGAAGGGCAGGACGGAGGGTGCCTCGCCGGATGGTTGGAATGCAGGGAAGAAGACTTGGTAGAGGCGAGGGAGGCCATGGCAGTAGGTGAGATGGCCGAGGGAGAGGCGGCAGATGAAGAGACAGCGGATGGGGGGACAGGAGAGAGGGAAACAGGAGAGGGGGAGACAGGAGAGGGGGGAACAGGAGAGGGGAAGACAGGAGAGGGGGAGACAGGAGAAGGGGGGGCAGGAGAGGAGGATACAGCAGAAGAGGAAACATCAGAAAAGGAAGCAACAGAGAGAAAAGCAGGAGAAGGAGCAATGGAAGGCTATGCTGGGGAAGAGAAACCCCACGAGGAGGGGGGCTTTAGCATAAAACACCGGGAAAACGAGGACAGCGAGGGTGTATTTGGAAGGGAAGGGTTGATGGACGAGGCGTTAGGGGAGGAATTGTCGTTGGGAGAGGAAGCGTTGAGGGTGGCAGCGTTGTCAGAGGCAGCATTGAAGGAGGAAACATTGGGAGAGGATGATTTCAGTGGGGAGATTCAACAGCAGCAGAAGCTGGCTGTGGTGTACAGAAGTGCTCCGAGTGCTCTTGCTGCTGCTGCTGCGTCTTCTCCTGTAGCTGCTGCTATTGCGGCCGTTTCTCCTGCTGTTGCTCCTCTTCCTCAAGTTAGTGTTGCTTGCCCCACTCCACATCCTCCTCCTATCCCTCATCTACCTTCTGTTTCTCCTTCCATCCCTCGTATATCTCCGTCTGCTCCTACTTCGGTTGCTCATGTGTCATCTCCTCTTTCTTTTCCACATCAGCCTCTTCCCGCTCCTCGTGTCTCTCCTCCTCTTACCTCTCTTCCTCGTCTGTCTCCTCCTCTTGCGTCTGCTCCTCTTCCTCCTCCGTTTCCATTAGCAACAAATCCATCGCCTGTAATACCTGTTCCGTTTGCCTCTAGCGCGGCTATCTCTAGTTTACTTTCTAGTCCTGTGGCTAGTAGTGCAGCTGCTATTTCTCTTGGACCCAGGGCAGAAAATGCTGTTCTGCCACGGTATGCAGTAGTAGGTGCTGCTACTAGCGAGGACGGAATTACTGGCAGGGGTATCATTGACGACAAGGGCGATATGGGCAGAGCAGAGCCAAGAGCAATGACAGGAGGGACAGCAGTCAGTAGTTCTGCGGCTGCCCAAACAAGCGAGATACTTTATACCGCTGCAGATGAAGCAGTGACGGCAGCACACCCAACGCAACCAGTCAAGGCAGAATCGGACCGGTCGAATCTCCTGGCATCTGATGTGTGTGTGTCTGATGTGTCAGACAGGTTCTGGGGTCATCCGGTTTATGGGCGAGTGGCAGGAGTTGCTCCTGTGGCTGTAGCGGCAGTGACGGCTGCAGCTGCAGCGAATCATTTCGAACAAGGGCAGCAGCAGCAGCAGCAGCAGGTGATTCACAATCAGCAGCAGTCTGACAGACCGCCCCATTTCGAGCAATCGCAGCAGCAGTTGATGCACGATCATCAGCAGCAACAGTTGATGCTGCATCAAAAGCAGCAGCAGCGGTTGGTGACATTGCATCAGCAACAGCAGCAGCAGTCGCAGCAGCCGCCGCATCAGCAACATCGACAGCACCTGGGAGGGCAGCTGCTGCAGCAACAGGTGCTGCATCAACAGCAGCAGCATCAGCAGCAGCAGCAGCAGCAGCAACATCCGTCCCTGCAGCCAGTACAGCCACTTACTGCCCTTGCCCCTGCCCCTGTCGCTGCCCCTGCCCCTGGCGCTGCCCCTGCCCCTGCCCCTGCCCCTGCTGCTGCTGCTGCTGCCCCTGCCCCTGCTGCCCCTGCTGCCCCTGCTGCCCCTGGCGCTGTCATTGCACCTCTCCCTGTTCCTGCCTCTTTCTCTGCCCTTCTCCCTGCCCCTCTCCCTGCCC